AAAAACTTTAGATCACTCAAAATTTATATCCAATTTGTATCCAAAAATCTAAACTTATTGACTTTAGCTTCAATTGCTTGAATGCTCTCTGAAGAAAAATCCTAATCCCTAATAAGGCCTCAGGAACCCTCCTTGAAGTCCATTGGATACAGCCTTCAACTAATAGGAATGAAGATTCCTATTCCTTGCCTTCATCTAACCATGCCTTGTTTTCATCTCTTCCAATATGCCTCCTACTAGTTTAGATTTTCATCTTTAAGCTCTAATCTCCTCTTAAGACTTCATATTAAACATTTAGGTCTTATATTTTTTTAAATACTATAATAAAAATAAATAAAACTCAAAATAAAGTTTCTTATAGTCAATTTATTTAAATTAATCTATTAGCAATTCTAACATATACCAAGAGTTATGAACATATTATATATTCTAACTAATTTTTACATACTATAAGTAATTACAGCACGGCATTGGCGACTTTATTGGAGAGCCCTGTTTTTTTTGCTCTAACTCATTATTGGCTTAGTGAATTTTGAGACTGTGAATCCACCTTGATTGCTGATACTTGTACTTTGATATTTGGACAACCTCTAATTTGATGGCCTCGCTCTCGATAAGGGTGTCAAATATTCATCTTAGTAATTATGGTGAATCGCTATAAATTTCCATAGCATAATTTCTAAGGTTTGATTTGCATGTTTTATTTATCCATATGTTTAAAGATAGAAGGCTATGGACATAAAAAGTTGTATACCAAGTAATTTAAACAAGGCCTACCAAAAACTCCCCATAAAGCATGGATCTTGATTTGAAATAATGACATAAGATAATCCATGGTGATTAAAGACATTATCAAAGAAGATCCATGCAAGTACTAACACATCAATATCAAATTACATTGTAGCCAACTGAAGTTTTTTTGACAATCCATCCACAAAGTCAACAATTATGGTGTGATTATAAGACGTTTGTCACAAATACGTAATGAAGTCTATTGTCATTTGCTCCCAACATGCCATAGATAGTGGAATTGGCTGTAATAATCCAAAAGATGTTGCATTGCATGCTCAGTTATATTGACATGATTTGTAAGAGCTCACAAAAGCCATTGGCATATGTCTTCTTGTGTTGAAGTTTTAGAATATGTTTCGAACTTATTTAATTTTAGCCTAGAAAATGTCAACTTTCCTATCCTAAAAGCTTCTATTTGTCATTGCAAAGTAGTTATCTAGTCTAGAAGATGTTGCACCTAAGCTACCATCCAGGATGGCTCCACTATATCTTCCATATTACTATTTTCTTACCAAACTTTGCCATTATAATACCTTCTATCTTTCCAATTGATTTCTTAAAAGTAACTTGTGATAGTCCCAAAATAATAACTGGTATGACCACAAGAATTAACCTCTAATTACATGGTGGCTATTAACATACTACCAAAGAACAGATTAAATCTCACTCTGATATCAATGAAACGAGATTAAATTCTCTTAAAGATCTAAAATCATTCCAATATATAGCAATATATATTCCATCATAAAATAGAATAAAACAAACCAAAATAAAATTGAATAAAATTAAATAGAATAAAATATAAAAGATAAAATAAAGCAGAAGGAAATAGAATAAAATAAAAAAATACAAACCAAACTTTACTAAAAGAAAAGAACCAAAGCAATACTTGGCCAAATCCTTCAAATGGCGTCAGTTAGTCCTATTTATAATTTTTTCAATTATTCTAGAACTTTCTAGAATATCTTTAATGGTATACTCCACCAAAATAACTATCCTTCTAGAAGATTCTAGAGATAGGCCCTATCTAGATAACCACCTTTAATTCTTCTAAGATATTCCATGGTCGGCCCCATATTGACCACCAACCTGGCTTTAATTCTAAAAACTTCTCAAAAATAGCTCCAATTATCTATTTCTATATGTCAATAGTACAATTATCTTATCCATGCCTCGTTACAATTAGTATAGATATTATATTGGATAGAAAGACACAATTTGCATCAAGATTTTAGAAAATATTTTTTAAGATATTGAAGGTGGATATAAAATTATCTTTAATCTTTTATCTTTAAATTGATGAATAAATAGAATAGATAAATCAAGTTTTTGAGTAATATTTGAAATATACCATCAATTAATATCAAGATAATTGGACAATTTTTTTACCATTAGCAGAGTTTATATATAATAATTTGGTACATTCTTCTATTTAAAAAATAACTTTTTTTGTCAATTATGGTTTCCATCCACAATTAGATACCTTTTTCTTTTCAAAGGTTAATAATTTTATGGTGGAAGTTGTGACAAATTATTTGTTAGAGTTACATACAATAATAAAGGTATAGTTAAAAGAAACTCAAAAACTACAAAAACTCAATGCAAATGCCTATCGCAAGGAACAACCATATTTCAACATAGATGACAAGCTTTGGTTACTTCATTGCAATATCAAGACTATTTGTCCTTGTGACCAATTGGATTATTGTAACCTTAGACCATTTTCTATTTTTAAATAAATTAATCTAGTTACTTATCAATTATATCTACCAAAGTCAATGAAGATTTATCTCATATTTTACATATCTCTTCTAAAGCCATATAAGATAGTAAATATCTTAAAAAGAAGACAAATGCCACCGCTTCCAATAAAAGTGGATAATTATCAACAGTTTGAGATAGAAGAAAGTTTAGATTCAAGGCAATACCAAAATAGATTGGAATATCTTCATAATTGCCATGGATATAAAATAATGAATGCATATAGAAGCAAGCCAAAAATCTTATAAATGTACTATTAAAGATTAATTTTTTTTATCAATGGCATCCATTAAAATCAAGATGAAAAATTAAGCAATTTCTTACTATAAAAAATAAGATGTTCAATAAAAATTACATTATATCTTCTATTCTTTTTTGTGAGTTCTTTGTATTTTAACAATACCAACAAGATAGAAAATCTACAATTGATAGACTCAACTCAAGAGCCATTATTTATTGACTTACCAGATGAGACATTATAATTGTTATAGCTTTCAAGACAATGTAATTGAAATGGTGACCCTTAATAATGACATATTCTTCCTCAAATAGATAGCAAGATACAATGTGTTTGATATTACAACCTTGGAAGTGGCTCTTGATATTTGGTGATTTTATTGAGATAAGAATGACTTTTGATGGTATAATCAATATTTTATTTAAAAGAAGTTATGAAGACTTCAAGAATAAACAAATAATAGGATAGTCTTCTTGCTTGAAATGGGACATTATGAATAGTTGAGATGACCTATCAACTACATTTGAAGGAAATAAAAATGAAAGTATGTGGCGAATACAATTTGTTACATCTTAGACTTCAACATGTGATTACTACTACTCGTGGAACTTATTTCTAAAAGGGAGAATAATGACATAGACATATTTATTCTAATAGTTATTTAGGTAATATGAATCGATAGAAGTAAATAAAAGTAGATTAATTTCATAATATCTTGTAGAAAAGTATCTTAGAAGCTTCATAGACTTGTTTTCATCTTTATACATGTCTATAGGTGATTGATAGGTTAGAAACTTGACTAACAAGTTAGCCACATGTTGCACATGTTAGTAGTTTGTAGAATAAGGTAATTATGTAGTACACATATAGGAAACTTATCTTGTAAGTTAAACATATATCTTGTAAATAGGATTTGAGCCATATTGAATTTTTATCTTATTCCATGAATCATCAAGTAATAAGTGAATGCAGTAGAGAAATATTTTCCACCTTTATTTGTTTTAAGGTAGCTAATCTTATTTTTTTGTTTTGATTTCTATTCTAAATTAAAATTCTTTTAATTTTTTTATTGCATAAAATAAATTCAGTTTTTTTTAGATTAATTATCCATAAAAGCAATATAGTATCTAAAACCACTTAGTGACTAACATCTCATCAAACCAACCAAGTCAGAGAAGATTGCTTGAAGTACTTCAATTGCCTAATATTTTGATGCCTTAAAAAAACTTCTTTGGTAGTGTTTCTTTAATAGATAGTTGTGACATGTATAATTTGTAGAAGAGAATAATAGAATTCTTATAATTTCTTGTGTTTTTGACAGATATAATCTTGTATTGTATAGGTGGCCAAATTGCTTGTGCCATGTATATAAGTCTTCTCTGATAAAATCTATGTGTACTAAGTCCATCAAATTGTTGTGATCATCAATATTATATAAGCTGCTATTTACTTCTATGTCTTCTAAGGCCAATGTTTTTATGTCTTGGATATTGTTTAGAATAAAAAATTATTTATGTATGAATACCATGGCACATTTGTTATCTGTCAGCAAACCAATTGAAATTAGACTTCTTTATAATCCAAGTACATAAAAAAATGTTGTAAAGCTTTATTGATCATGAATTGGTTTGTAGACTAAAATATCTAATGTAAATCTAAATGCTACCAATTTTGGCATTTTATAGGTTGGATTTGGTGTATCTTGTATTAAAAAAAAACTATTAAATCAGATTATCTAAATATATTTGTTTTAACATTTGTCTCATTAATTAAGCAAAAAAAGTTACTTATAAATTAAATAAATTTAAACCTTTATTAAAAATAAATATACTTAACATAAACTATAATATTTTTTTGTATACTTTTTATTTTATTTCTTACTAAAAGCATTAATTATTTTTTAATATTTTTTTAAGTTATTTGAAAGGAAAAAAAATTATTGCACTATTTTTTTAAACAATAATATACTTTCATTTGTTAAATTACATTTTTTTTTATGATAATAAATTATTTGAATAATTGATACTTAAAAATAGTACTAAAATTTCCAATCTAAAAAAACCGCATTTGTATATAATACATACAAATAATTTGAACATTAAATAAATATATGATCAACATTAAAATCTATTGTTTCTAGAAAAATAAAATCAATGCAACAAGTAAAAAATAAATAACAAACGAACCCACACACATATCAAGCTTTTACTATGTGTAAAAGATTGTATATAATCTTATTACATACTTTTGAGGTTTACCCATTGATTCTCATAATACGGTTTTTAGAATGCAAAACACTCCAACTATGATTTCCTGAAATTCTTCGTAGAATCGTTCACAATTGAAGAGGACGATAAATTCAGGAACTGCGTCGGAAGGTACAGCTAAGCTGATCACATTGAGCAGGTTTGTATCGAAGCATTAGAATGTATGTGACAAGATTAAGCCTTTGGGCTTCGTGCAACCATTTACAATGCACTATCATCCAGTTGTGGTTAAAGCCACAAGAAGGCTAAGACATACTGCACACCTACGCCTGATATTACTCGTAGACAATGAACATGACAACTAATAATGTACAGAGCATGATTTCGTGAGTTACACCACAGATGTCATCAAATAGAGCAGATTCCAGCTACTAAAGAGGATAAAAATGAGAAGGTTATATATCTTTGTTAGCATTGAAGAGTCCGTCTATTTCATCCTTGTAGCGCTCGTAGACCACTTCTCGCCGCACTTTCATTGTTGGCGTCATCAACCCATTTTCGATCTGCGTGGTAAACATATTTACACTTTGTGCGTGAATACACAAAACAGTGTAAACACTAGTTCCTAAAGCACACTAATAACAAAAGCTTAAATTTCAATTAATTAAATTTCTTACACTATTTAATCCCTTAAAAAATATCACATCGATTCAGGCACAAAAAACAACTTGGGATTGAATCATACCGTAAAACTTTCTTCAATGAGAGCAAATGGACCTACAGGCCAGGAGGAATTTGCCAAACTGTACAACACAAGAAACGTGTAAATACAAAGCAGAGCGAGGAGCACCTCTTATGCACTCAGAGCATATAGAAGATAAGAAACTCTTACCTGCCAAAAAAACTCTGTAAATTGAAAACTGCCATCAAGATAACGGCCATGCAAAAACTTACAGCCGATTGATTTCTCGGCGAATCACATTCGTCCTGTCACTCTTGATAGGCTTTGAAGAATCACCCTTAGCGAGCTTATATTCTTTTACCGCAGCTTCTAGCTCCTCCTTGTTGCCCACTATGAGCGCCCCTAACCTCCGCTTGTCTTGCCCCACAAGCATAACATTCTGTATAAGCTTGCTCTGCATGATTGCCTCTTCAATTTCTTGCGGTTCAACGTTCTCACCTTTACACATCAACCCATCCGCATTCGAAGTTACGCAACATTTACTCAGGTGCCCATCTAATCATTAACTCGCAAAACAAACCAAATTGTACGCAGCAGAAAGCATCCTAGGCATCTACTTCCAAGTATACAAGTACACAAGAGTTCGCAAGTACATACATCATGTTAGACAATAAATCATTCAACAGAAGTCTGCTTGAAAGAGGCTTAAGTGAGAAAATGCACACCCGTTGATAGAACAATAGTGTCTTTAGCACGGCCGTCTAAGACCAGAAGACCCCCACACATCCGTGCTGGCCCTACTGGTGAAGATGGAACTTTCCACCCCAGATCGCCTGTCTCAAACCACCCATCGGAGTCTATGGCTTTACTGGTTGCTGCGGGATTCTGTACCATGTATAAGACATATTGGTGATAAGTCAAAAAACCATGTCAGGGAAGGTGAAACGACCTGCAAATGTTTACAGTCTTCTCTATAGAGTGGAGAAACCCTCAAAAAGCACCAGTTTAAAAGAATATAATCAAATTGAATTATCTAATCAAGAGCACATAATTTAGGTATACAAACTCAAACTTAAGTGGACTTCCAACAAACAAAAATATCTCAGCGGTCCAACATATAAATATGTCAATTTCAACCAGAGACAACACCTCAACATCCATTCGCAAAGAGAAAGCAAAGACATGAGATATTTTTATGATTTTTGCAAACCCTGTCAACTTTCTTGGATCAAGAGTGAAGGCAAGAAGGTCTATTCAACCAACTCTAGATTAAAATCTACATATGAAAGGCAGCTGTCGTGTAGAAACAAACCTTATAGTAACCTTTCATGACTTGAGGACCACGGATTTTGACTGAACCTTTGATGCCAGGAGGAACGATGTTACCAGAGTTAGGATCAACGACTTTGATTTCTGTTTCGGGTATGGGCCCTCCAACTGTACCTAAGACCTGCACCGGAGTTATATGTGTCAGCTTCACTTCACCAGAAAATTTGTCCTTTAAGCTAAATTGTTAGTGACTACGCACATATTTCAATACCCTGGAATAAAAAACGAAAATGGTGAAACTCACATTATTTGATGGTAGCCGACAAGAAACAACTGGAGATGTCTCTGTAAGACCGTAACCGTTCAAAACCCGGATACCAATGGCCTGGAAGTGATCAAGTTACCGACATAATTACTTTTAAAAAAAAATTCAAAAAACTAACTGCTCCAACTCACCTAATTTTCCCTTTTAACATGACTACTGCACTTCACTTGCAGGAACGTGTCAAGCTCTTCGAGACATTAGACAACACAAAGAGTAATCTCAATTATCAACATTGCTAAATAATAGTAATAATAATGATAATAGTTGATATTCAAGACTTGCAAGGTCAGAATGGAGGCCAGTAGGTACAACCAACATACCTCAAAAAATCTATCCACATAAGGGGGAAGGCTACCGCCTCCACTGATTGCTGCCTGCAAAACATAGCCAGTGACTTAAATTAGGGGAATGAATGTAGTTGAGATTGACTGTACCCTCTAATGATCAGGCACTAGGTTGCAAACAAGCCAAACTGCGAAGGACAATGAAAGATCATGCTTGTCATTCTTCCTTTACGTAAGGGTGACGGAAATGATCAGTATAAGTATGAGAAAAAAATTCAATCAAAATAATCAGAGAAATGCTAAAGTTCACACGTCACCAATTAGCCCTTTACATACACATGTCAAAGCAAATGACAGCGCATACTCAGAGTTCTCTCAAACACACCTTCTTAATTCCAATTGAAGCAAGAATTTTAGAGTACACAAGCTTTTGAGCCAGTAGGTGAAATGGCAGCAGCAGTAGTGCACCAATTGTCGCGATTGCCCAGACCTTGGCTGCCGCCACTGGACTGAATGATTCTCTCCCTTTTGTGACATCTCGACCCTATCCTCATCAAAACAATGATCATAATTAGAACAATAAGAAGATTAGCAAGATGGCAGATTTTCTCAAATTGTTAACGACAATATGTAATTTAGTAAGACAATAGATGTAAACCCAAAACACATGCTAATACAAATGTCAAACAGATCGTTATTAACACGTAGATAATAATCTGCAACACATGTTTCTATCACTACACGGCATGTTTTGATAACGAAACTTCGATTGGAACGAAAGAAACCGGTTCAGCATTCAAAATTACGAATCTGTTCTACATTCTGCCCAGAAACATAAACCTGCGATGCCCCATACTATCCACGAAACTTTAGCACCGCACTCTGAGAAGTTAATTAGCACTTGCTCAGAATTTAGGCCTGCATCCAGATTATTAGATGGTGAAATCTATACAATTCACTCATAGTATCGAACAAAAGAAATGTAAATAACCTCTTGTTTCCGCTTGATGTCGACAAACTTGAGACTGAGGCTCAAGAGAGTAAGCGCGATTTGCTTTCGGAACTTGGAGCCTGCAGCTATTTGTTTCTGAACTCCACTGCATCCAAATCATGAACTTAATTACGTCAATGCACACTTAATGCTCAATTGACATGCATCACATGAGAGATACTATAAGGAACTTGCAAATCACAAATTTATCACATACAAGAGTACTTCTATTGTATGCAGAAAGTAGTCTAAGACCAGGTATAGTATAAGGTTCCAACATATCAAGTTGTTACTAATGAAACATAAACAAACGATTTCAATGAGTACCTGTACAGAATGTCAAACACCAGTGGAACAGCAACAAAATAATCTGGTGGGTACCGTGCCAAGTCCTCCTGCAAGACAAAGGAAGATCAAAATAACGTATGTAAACCCTTGAACATAAAACATTGCTGAACGTCACTTCTCACCTACTTTTCTTGTTAAGAATATACGCTGATACTTAAAAAATCACACGTCAAACTCTCTGGTATGGGACAGATGGCAGAAAACAGAAACTACAAAAAAATGAAATAGCAACCCCAAGAGCAGGTTGAGTAAAAGCTGTACCTTCAAGGTCTTTACACTTGTATACACTTGACTAACGCCACGAGATAGAGCGAAGTACTCAGCAGAGCGTTCGTACATGTGCCACGGTGGCAACAAACTTAGGAAGCGGTCGCCCGGTCCTGGTTGCACAACCGACCCCAAGTGTACTATCTGTCCAAGAAGCCAAATACCTTGACAATGAACATTTAAAAGGTCCCTCGCAAATAATGTCGCTGTAGCAAGAGAAGAAATCACAAAAACAGTGGCTGGCTATGTCGGTACTAATATTCATCCTCCATAGAGACCAGCCAAGATTCTTCGTTGATCAATGACCGATAACCAACATGCTTCAGAAAATAAAGCTCACAGGAGTATACATCAAGTTCTAACCCTCTCGAGTATTTCAGCCACTCCCAGGTAATTGTTTTAATTGCCACAATCAGTTTTTCGAGCACAGGTAAGGAAGATGAGAGGACCTGATGGAGAAGATTGGCATGCGTAAGCATAACACCCTTAGGGTTCCCGGTCGTGCCACTTGTGTATACCAATGTCGCCACATCATCAGGGTGAATAACATCGCACTGCACCCTCTCACCTGACACAAATCAAGTTAATTACTTCAGTAGTCAACGACTATCATATTAAGCTTAATGAGAGTTCATGAACATTCCATCTCTTCCATTCTATGAAGGCTCTTCATGGAGTTTAAGAGTGGTAAGAATGCTCCTTCTACAAGTAACGCAATATAGGAGACATTCGAAATTTGTGTAAACCAACACCAATTTAACTGCCAACACATGACATACAAGCTCTTGAAAATGTCGAGGAGAAGCAAAATGCGCCTAACATAATTTCGTAAAATATCATTTTTTTCTTTTCTTTGAATGAAGCAAGAATGTAATTACACGATGCCGAAAACTGATGGCCTCGATGGAATCAGATACGTGCATTCACATCTCAGTGGTTCTAGTACTGATTGATGTTCTTTGGTTGAATTCGCACATACTTATAACCAGTAAACAATACCTTTCAAGAAACTCCATTAACAAAGTTACAACCAGCTGCTCTTCAAGCCAGGACATACGAAGTAAATACAGTTCAAATGAAAATGCTAGCTTAGGACCAGGTAATGAAAGGACTAGCTAAAAGCATGCACCGTTGCGATACGAATAAGAAAGACTGAAAAGAGCGGTCGTGATGTGGACACCTGAGCTAGCGACAGCGGCCAAAGCTTGCCGACTTGTTCTTCCCGAAGCCATAAGCTCATCAAATGAATAGAATGGAACTTCACTTCCATCTTTAAGGTCTTTCAATGTGTCTTTAGAAGTCCAAAGCACAATTACGAACTTAATCACAGTGTTTCCCTTCAAACGATCCGCAATTTTGTTGTAAATCTCAAGGTTGTCAACGACCAATGCGACACTGCGATATCATAGGTTCAAGATCAGGTTCAACTACAGTATCAAATGTCCAGACTCTTGATGTACTAGTAACCATCAGCAACCAGAATCCTGGAAGTATTACTACTATTACACTCGGCATTAATGCGACAATAATAAATTATCGAAATTCAGTCAAAGTATGATTGATGCACAGAACAGATGAGGCGAGCAAAACGATAGGGGCTAAGTTAATTGCTTAGTGTTGTAACGGCTGTGCCGTTCATAACCTTTAATTCACATTATCTACTTGATTTCTTGCGAGAGCAATTAAGAGTAAAAATTACTGTATTTTCGAGTCTTACTTACCTGTCAGAATGAGTGACAATGTGATACAATTCATCGGTTGAAGATCGCGACCCTCTCACCGCAGCAACAGCCCCCGCAGCCATAATTCCTGTAAAATAGAAATTCTATTTCAAAACCCCATAGAGCTGTTTATGCATAAATGTCAACCAGAGTCTAAACCTTCAATCCACAATCTAAGGTTCATGATAGTTAGCACACGGCTCCTAACCAATGAATGGGAAATGTCAACTTCCCTTTACAGTGGTGTCTAAGTATTAGTTCTCGACTAGTGTTGAATGTTACTTGAGCACCTTATACCTCTGAATTCCTAGTCTCTAACTAATTCGGGAAATCACAAGAAAACATGATTTGGTAACATTAGTATACCAAATTAATTCGGTTCCCCTTCAAAGTTCTTATTCAAATGTAAAAAGTGCAAACCTTGGTCTGAAATCAACCAGCGATGAGAATTGTCAGCAAAGAGTGACATGTGCTGGTCCGGACGAATTCCACAAACCCGAAGTCCCTCAGCAAAATCCAATATTGATTGCTCTAGCTGCGGATCACGACAAATTCTCACTCCGGGTCAGCATGGGTGTTCCTTAAAAAAAAGTAATATCGAAATTGAGAGTGAATAATATCTTCAATGCGCGAACAATTGAGTTCTCACAATGCAAGGCATTTTATCACGCCCTTGAAAATTCGCAGTGGTAAAAAATGGAGCAAAAGATTTCCAGCTACTTGTAACATGAAAAATAAAGAGCTCAATTTGGATCGGGAGAATACCTGCTTGTAAGTGATTTGTGAAGGAGGTTGTCGGTGCGGATCAACAAGGGCGACGCGATCACCGTACTTCTCCGCAGCAGTCTTCCAGATGTCAGGAACTGCTCTCCACTCAGAACTTTCGGACGGTAAGCTCTCGCTGGCACCCTCAAACAGAGGTGCACACTTCCTTTCTCCTTGGAAGTACTGCCGTGGCTGACACGCAAACAATCTAGGTGAGAAAAATCATCAGCTGACACGTACTCATTGGATTTTGACCCGTACACAGCCACATTATCATTAGGGGAAGACTCCAGTTTAAAGGGAGATTTTGAAAATGCGCATGCGACAAGCTCAGAAAAAATGAATAAATACAAAATACAAAATACAAGAGCACTCCGACATGCATGACCGAGTATATGTCAAAAATGATGACGGGGGGGAATGCTTCCTACATAGGCAATCATCAGTATAATGTTAAGCATCTTACCTCAACCGTGGCACAAGGAGTAACGGTTTGAGGACGACGCTTGATGGAGTGAGATTTCCTAGAGCTGTACTGCAGGGTAAACTCTTGATGCCATTGAGTCAGAGGGGACTGCACTAAAGGCTTCGAAGGATGTCCAAGACCAAGATGCATAGTGAATGTCTCTGCACACAGCCTGTGCCCCTGAGGCAGAAGTGAGTTGACTTGCATAGTCATGTTGCTGAGTTTACCTGAAATGCAATTATCCAAGACATGTAAACTTCATAAATCAGCGGAGGACAAAAAAAACCACTACAGCAACTAGTCTTCGAAACGATGGAAACTAAATTGAACAAGAATAAAATAAAACTTCCAGTACAATTGCACAATTCACAAGGGCTACAATTCGTCGAGGTTTGCCATATAGCCAAACACAACAAAAATAAATAAAACGCCAAAATGCCTGCAACATCGAAAAATCTTCAAACTGACCTCTCCCACGCGTTTGAAGGCAAGGAGCGTGAGCTCCAGCTGCGAAAAATTCAGAGCTAGTCACATACAACAGCAGCGAGAACGAAACAAATCTAAAGACTCTCTTGTGTTTGTGACGTTCGTCAACGGGAAATATAAGTCCCAGGAAGAATGACGGCAATTCTTCTCAGCAAGGCACGGAAGGAGACTACAACACTGCGAAGCTAACAACCAAGAAAACTATCCGAATTTCGTTAGAGAGAAATCGAAGAAAGGCTGAAATACCTGCACAACTCTGTATCAATTTTCCCACTCGATAATTCACTTCAAAAATCCTCCAGCAAGTCTACCACACTGGCAGCAGGAAACAATTCCCGTTTCCCACTACAATACCTTCACCAATCCACGAGAAAATCGCCCCCGAACTTTAATATCCTAGCTACCAACTTCTAAACACAAGCTCACGTCCAATCCTAGACTGAGAGTGGAGGTGCAAACAGCGAAACAATTCTCCAGCCAATTGCGCACGCAATTAATCACCAGTTTGAGGAACTTCGGTGCCAAACGAACCAGAAAAACGAGTTCTCAACCGGTCGGTGCGGATCGGGAGGCCAATCCTCACAAGCGAAATAGAAAACTGGATAGATTGAGTGAGTGAGTGAGAGTGAGAGAGAGAGAGAGCATCGCAACGACGAAGAGGATGACTTGCAATTCGAGAGAGAGAGCCAGGCGCGACTGAGGGCCCCGACCGCCGCAAGTGGTGAGTTACTATTTACCCAGTGATGATTTACTGCTAACCATAGCAAAGGAGAAGGTAGAAAAGTTGAAGAGCTGGCCGGAGAAAAAGGCTTTTCCCCTTAGAAAGGCAGGTAGATTCGTTAATTATTCCTTTTCACCCCTTCCCACTTTTTTCGTTTTACCCCTGTACCTCCTCTGCTTGACCAGGTGTGAACAGAACCCATGGGAACTTTCCTCCAAACCCGACTTTAAAGTTGGATTGCATTTATGTGAGATTAGATATCTCTATATGCCCAAATTTGAGTTCTCCTCACTAAAAGAACTATGACTCCCTTTACTCAAAGATATGTAAAGTGTCCTTTTGGTTGGGCGGGGATTGTCAAATGTGATCTTTTAGAGGGCACTTTTCCTGATTGGTATTGTGTGTTTCAAAGGTTGGATTATCATTGGAGCCATTTGGGAGATGCTTCTTTTCTTTTCATGAATAGAATAGCATGTGCTTAGTTTGATGATGTATTGTTGTTAAGTCCATTTACTATGCATGGTCTCTCACCTTCATCCTTGGACATCACTTAGTCATTCCAAAACCCTAAAAGTAAAGCCCCAGATCTTCGTCTACTTTTTTCTTTACTTTTTTATTTCTTTTTTATTTATTGTGGGAAGAGTATCCAGATCAACCTTGACCTTATTTTTCTTATATTTAGGGAGATAAAATGAAAATGACAACAAAACAAGTGAGTTTTCTTGCCAGCAAAAGACTTATCCTTGGGAATGGATTCCTTTGTTTTTTTGGTCCAGTTGTGGCACGCCTCTAAAAAAGCATCTATGTGTGGTCCCAAACCTACAATAGATGCCAATAAAAAATATTTAAAATATAAAATGAAAGGATAATTATTCACTATAAATGAGGAATTGGTAGGATAGAGGAAGAGGGGAAAGGAAGGAAGGAAAGAATAAATTCCCCTAAATTGAGGCTAATCATACACCCACATGACAGAGTTAGAGAGTCGTTTTTAACCCCTCTAATCGGGAGCAAATTGCAACTGAAGTTGGTGGCTCTAGGCTATGGTTTGTAGGCTTGGCAGGTGGGAGCACATATGGACCTACTCTTGAGAAGGAATGATGTGGTAGGTTTTTTTAAATAATACATTTCATCTCATTTTATTTATTTAATTGAAAATAGTTGTAGAAATGTAAAATAATAAACTTCCAATTACAAGGATTGTTCATGACTTTGTAGAAGTTCTCTCTATATATACGTGTATAATGAGGGAAATCGGGTTTGGGGAAAAAAATTTAATGAAATAATAAACAACACTTGTCATTCTATTGATTTTATTTTATTTTTTCTAAATAATGAAATGCTTATCAAATTACCACATACCACATTGATTTTATTTTATTTTTTTCTAAATAAATTTTTATCATATAAACACTCAATTTTTTGAGAAAATAATTAGAAAATAAAATGGTAAGTTCTCACATTAACATTGTATCCTTCATGATTGTAATTAAAATTAAGTACAAATTTTACGAAAATGATATCCATGGTAAAAAGAATGAAATTTAAAATGTAATAAAAAAAATTAAAAATTAAACAAAATCTATTACTATAAAAGTTCAAAAATTATTGTAAATGGAATTATAAGTGATAGCCCCAAACAAATGTTAATTTCAAAAATCTTACTTCTATCAATATTAGATGCTTCTAAAACTCATTCCACAATTCATGTTGTTTTTTCTGCATTCACTGATGAAATTAACATTCATTTGAAAAACAGATGTGTTCATTGTATTTATCTCAAGTTCATTTCGTATCTGCTTATGAAATATTCAACTTTCTGCAGCACAAAGGACACTGAAGACATTAGGTAGTTTGTAATCAACATTATACCATGTTGATTGTATATTGAATTTGTTAACAATTTCCTACTGGAAAATTTTATAAACTCAAAAAGTATTGATCTTTACTTGGAAAAAACTTCATGTCCAACACTGTTTGTTTTTTCTGTCACTTTTATACTTTAAGTGAAAAGTAAACAGTACTCTATTCAATGATGCTAATTTTTATCAACTTGAAACTTACAATGTGGAACTTGTAACCTTTAACCCACTTGAAATATTCAAAATACTTTCGAAAAGAAATACCACAGAAAAATTCCTCTGCAGTGTAACACTTTTATTCAAAAGTGCTCGTGCTCAAAGTATTTGCACCATCTGTATGGTTGCTTTTTACCACCCACAACAATTAACACAAAAACACAATTCTTAAAAAAAAGGAAAAAAATAAAATGTGCATCAGATTTTATTAGAAATACTTAAACAATATTACAAGGTTTAAATGGCGATTTTTTTACGTGATATTGGACAGTCATGCAATTTCGCTGCTGCACTCATACATAATCAAAATTAATGTATATATTTAGTATCAAACCTTTGTTAGCATAGTCAACTTGTAAATATTACATATTAGTGATGGTATTTCATATTAGTGTTCTAATACGTGAACAAAATTCTTACTGTCTTGTGTATTTAGAATGACAAAAATTTAAGAGAAAAATGTTTTTTGCATCAATAAAGCCGATCTAGAATAATAAATACACACACTACATTTCTTAATACTGCAATTAAGAGCATAAACCCTCAATCAACCTACAAGAATACATGTAAATGAAAAACAATCTTATAGAGTAAACACAATCAATGGAAACATAGAACAAAAACCTTCATAAAACTTCCAATTCTGCTAAACATATATATATATATATATATATATATCTGTCAATTTAGCATAAGAAGTAGCTAATTCTAGGATAAAGTAAATCCAAAATTCAACCCTATTTAAAATGTCAAAAAATAAAATAAATAAAATAAAATACTCATACGTGTAAAGAAAATGGTAGAACAGGTATAATATTTGAATTAGGAAAATGGGGATTTAGGGAACCTAGTTATGTGCAATGAAGAGGACTAGTTTTGAGGATAATAAATACATGTGATTACAGCACTGTGGTCCATAGTGTGTCTTTAAGTCTTTCTATTAATGGGAATAATAAAATTAGACAATGTGTATGTTGTCAAGCCCACAACTCCAGAATGGCTTTGTGGCCCTCAACAGGATAACCCAGTCCATCAGATATCCCCCCCCCATCCAAAACGTCTGGCTCAGATGCTGCCAAATGCATGCTATCACATAATCGTACTCTGATTTGTGTATTCTACTCTGTATGTATACTGAAGAGGAGTTACTGTACGTATATCCAAAATGAAATATTATAGATAGGGATTCTCTTTTGTCCTGAATGTCGTAAATGCCAGAAGAGGGTAAAAATTAAATGGGTGTAATCTAGATGTTGTGAGAGATTCATTCCTTTTTCCCAACAAGTATGAGCATCTTTCTACATATGTGATGGAGTGCTTCATTTATTTATTTATTTATTTATTTGTAGTTTGTGAAAAAAATTATTTTTGATTCTTATTCTCTTTTTATTTGATAAATTGCAACTTCCATTTCGTGCTTGTTCTTATGAGGATTTAACAAATCTCTCATGGTTTTGCAGTGTTACTCTGAAGTGTGATTTCATTGGGTTGTAAAGAATGAGTCAATGTACTTGCATTCATACATAGATACATATTTACATAAATACACAATTTAGTTTGCTGATTTAGAAGCTTGTGATATGAAACATTTATTATAATACAACTTATGGTCTTACTTTCATATATATATATATATATAGATATAAATACACACACATACACGCATGCTAATTTTAATATTTAAAATAAAAATGCTGTTTTTATTTAACAATCATATAGTAAAAAATTGTAAAAATATTATATAGATATTTCTATCATTATTATATTAAATGCAAGGTTTAAGCATCTCTACTTGCATGCAATGATATAAATATATATATATATATATATATATCTAAGTTACTTTGTTTTAAATGATTTTCATTATTTTTTATTTGTGAAAATAGACTTTGATACTTATCTTAGACATGCAAAGTTTCTAATACTCAATAATGACATAGTTTATTTTTTTAGATTTGAAGTGAGTATGCATGTAATTATTTCATATATATATATATATATATATATTTTGATGCATCTCAATAAATATTCTGTGGAAAAATATTGTTTGAAGAGTTTCAATTACTAAGTACAGTCTGTTTTATGAAAACAATCCATTTTTACTCAAACTTTATTTTTGTTTGAAATTATAAAATATACTGTGAATATTTAAATTACGTTAACCTGATTTTTTTTTGATAATTTTGATTCAAAAAAAATAATTAAATCCATTAATTAAATAAGAAAAAATCAACAAACAATAGATTTTGGTTTGTTTAATAAATATAATGTTTGAAGTAAAAATTAAGAACAAGGTTTGTAATAATATGATTTTTATATTAGAATCATAGTAGTTACTAATATAGATAGTTGAGGAAACTAGGCTAAATTAATAGAATTAGAAGAATTAAGCTACATAGGAAAAATAACAAAATAAATAGAATAGATATCTTTAACAATCTAAAATTTAGTTAATAAGTTGAAATTTTTAATTTTTGATATTTTGTATTCTTAAGTTGGATAATTAGCTTTTAGAAATGTTACTAGTAGGTTATTAGACTAGCATAGAATACCAAATAGATTGTTAAAATTTAGTTAGTAGTTGAAACCAAATATCTTATAAAGGCAATTGAAATCCAATAGGAAACACATTCAAATCAAGGAGATGTCACCATTGAATGTTAGTTGGAACGAATATCTTCTTATTCTTTTTTAGTTATGACTTTAAATGTTTGCTTTATTTTGGGAGATTACATTAGGATGGAAGTAGTGAGTGTATCAAATCTAAGAAAAACAATAATTGGAGTACATTGAATTAATGAGATGGAGTTGAATGATTATTCAATTAATATTGTGCTATTGTCAAATTACCAAACAAGAGTTATCATATC